TCATATCGGACGGGGTATGGAGACTTTATGTATTTTGGCGCCCATACCGGACGGGGTATGGGGACAACCCTGTAATTAAGTTATTAATGTGAATGGTTCACGTGTAGCAGGGACCCCCTATAAATCCCCATGGATACTAGTAGACTGATAAAAGAGAAAATTTGTTGCCTGATGATTGAAATATAAAAGTATGATATGTGTTATATTATAGAGTGTGCATGATCTTATGATATTTATGATGTTATTGTTCATTATAAGTTGTTTTCATGAATCTCACCGAGATAAGTGGATAGTAAAAGTTTTTATCATTGATAAATGAGTTTGTTATAAATTATGCTCAATTGATCGTTTTTGTTTTCTACCAACCTTTACTTTTGTGACAGTGAGATAGTGTGATATCTTTGCTGGGTTAGTGTAGCTCATTCCTTATTTAACCATTTCAGATCAGGAAGACTTGGTTCTTGAGCCCGTATCGCAGGAAGACGGCGAGTAAATGTCTAAAGATTTCATAATTTTGTTTATAATATTCATCTATAATATTTACTTTATTTAGTTTATTCTTTCATACGTTTAGTATGTTTAGATTATTGTGTAAGGGATATTAATCAAAATTTTTATTCTCCTTCCGTACTTAGAATTTTTCTTACGTATACATTTCCTTTTAAAATTTCAGAAAAAGGAAAATTCCAGAGCTGTTTCAATGTTTATTCTCTAATATACTACTATAAGAAAGAAAATCTTATTTATATTTATTAAATTTCAATCTCCTAAATCTTTTAAGAAAGTGCTTATCGTATATACATATAATATATTAGATATAGATAGAATATATAAATTTAACAGTAAAAAAATTATTCTCAACATTAGATAAGTAGTTAATGTTTTTTATTTTTTAGTGGATTTATCTAAAATTTTATTTTTTTTTAAAAAAATAAAATAAAATATTACAGCGGCAGTAAGAGACTGAGCGACTAGAGCGGCCGGTAACTACTGCATCGGTGGTGTGGAGGGGCATGCCAAGAAGATCTAATTTTTTGTGGGATGCAGCAGTAGAAAACTGCATTAAGAAAAAAAAAAATCTCTATATATCTAAAATACTAAATACAGATATATATATATATATTAAAAAGCTTGTTTTAAAAAACTGCTTTAAACAAAAAAGAAAAAAACTGTGTAATATATCTATATATAATATTTAAAAAAATAAAAATAAAAATTAAAAGTATATATAAAGTTGAATTTCAACCTTGGAGACAAAATTGATATTGAATGATAAGGTATTATAAGAATCCTAATGCAAATAGAAAAAAAAATAGATTAAAAAGTAAAAGATCTGCATGGTTGCACAAAGAGAATTATAAAAATATCAGCAGAAAATCCAAACCCATAGGTTTTTAAACTTATTACATTTTTAGTTAACCATCTTTTTTTTTTTTTTTCGTCTCTATTCAATAAATTTAAGAATTTTTTCTACAAACTCTTGAATTTGACTATTTATTTACATATTTATGAATATATTATTATTATTTCCGTTAAATTTCTCTCTTTCTCTCTCAATATCCCTCTTTTATATCTCTTCCTCTTGACATTTTTACCCTATCTTCTTCAAATCCTTCTATTTATCCTCTCACTATTTCTCTCTTTATCTTATACTCGAATACATACTTTCTTAAAACAGAACTATGTATTCGGGTCATGACAAGAGGATGATGGTAGTTGGAGAAGAAGAATGAGGAAAAAGAAAACGAATGAGATAGAAGCGGCAAAAAGTTATGCGCCAGTTGCTGTGTTGCGTACCTTGGTTAGAGAAAGAAATACGCCTGAGGCGACATGCGGCCTAATGAGTGAATTAAATGTAATTCGCAGGTGGATAAGCTAATTACGTTGTCCTCCCCGAGAGAAAAAAATGGAGACACATCAACTTTAGAATAACTTCAAATATTTTGATTTAATTTTATTTGGACTTACCTAAAAAATTTATTTTTTTATTATTTTACAAGAAATCTCTATTTTATTATTAGTTAAAATAAAATCATTTAAAAATAAATTCCAGAAACAACATTTAATTCCTTCTAAACATATTCTAAATAAATATTCCATTAAAACTAAATTAAAAAAATGTTTGTTTAAATAAGTTATCAATTTTATTTTTTGGATAAATTCATAATACATTTGATATTACTTAAACGTCTCGTTTAGTTGAAATGTATTCAATTTTTATTTTATTTTTCAATTCTGATATTATTTAATATATAAAATTTTAATTATAATTTACATAATTATAATTAAACGCATATATATGTTTTTGATTATAATCCTGAATCGAAGAAGGCTGCTAAGGGAGGCTGGTGTCATTGGGGGAAAAGCGAAACGCTCCGTTTTAAGAGTTCGTGATTCGCGGGCAACGTGAGTGTACACGTGGCAGAAGACAAGCCACGTCCTCTCCCGCCAAACAATCAAATATTGAATACCGAAAATAACCCTACACTGAAATTCAATGCCTAGAATATCCTTTCCCTTTCACCAATGTACGTGTATTCTGCTCGCGGCAAAACACAAATATCAAGCTGTCCCTTTTTTAAAGGACAATTTTGTAATTTGGCTCGTCAAAGTGTCCGCGCACTTGAAAAGTCGGTTCTCCGTTAAAGGCGGTCCTCTTTCTGCCCCAATTTCCCCTGCTCTCTCTCTCTTTCTGTAGTTTTCCTGTCTCCCTGCTTGCAGTCTCGGAACGTCGTCGTTTCGGTGAAGTTGAAACACAAAATGGCCCCTGAAACTAGAAGAATGGTTTACCCGAGAGAGTCAGACTCCGAGACAAGCTCGTCGGAGGAAGAGGAGGAGGAGGAGGAAGAAGAGAATAATTTGTCAGAATCAGAAGAAGTAGAAGATAGAAATAAAAAAAATGGAGGGAAATTTGATTTGGATGAGGGAAAGAAGAAAGGGAAAGTCCCCATTACTATCAGACTCAAGAAAGTCTGCAAAGTAAGAGCCGTTCATCAATCCGTCGTGTTCACGGTGTTGTTTTATTTGATTATCTATATATGTACAGACATATATATCCTCATTTCCATTTATCATTCCTGTTTTTAGGTTTTATGTTGTAATGCTCAGCGTTTGTTTCTTTTTGGTGGTGCTTTCAAGGTTTGCAAGGAGGCGGGTCATGAAGCGGGGTTTAGGGGGGCTACGTATATTGACTGCCCTAGGAAACCATGCTTCCTCTGCAAAATGCCTGGTAATTTTGACTTCTGGGTTGTGGATTGTCATCGTTAAACATGTCATCTTAAAGTATTTGCCATTTCTTTTTGCTTGTTTTGCATGCTGAGTTATTCTTTTCACATGGCATATTGTTGTTCTTTTTTCTCGTTAGGGGGATGATGATTTTACCATTTAGTTATAAGCTTTAAATTATTTTGTCAATTGAAGGCCACACAACAATGACATGTCCTCATAAAGCTACTACTGAGTATGGGGTCATTCCGGCTAGCCGTAGAAATACTAAGAACCCTTTGGAATTTGTCTTTGAACGCCAACTTCGAGCTAGAACTCCTTTAGTAAGCCATCTTGTAACCCACAACATGATTGATCATTTATAACTTATTATTTCCAGAGGTTCAATTAAGGAATGATGTCTTCTTTGCAACGAATTTTCTCCTTTTTTTTTTCGGTTGTACAACAGGTCAAGCCAGCATACTTGATCCCGGATAAAGTGAACTGTGCGGTTATCAAATACCATAGCAGACGGATAACCTGCTTGGAGTTCCATCCAACAAAGAACAACATCCTTTTATCTGGAGACAAGGTGAGTCTCGCCTACACAAACTTTGTTCAGATTACACTATTAGGCATATGCTATTTTGCTAACTGGAATAGTGGAAGCCAATGTATCCCGCTGTCTATTCATCTGTCTCACTTTGGTTTTTGTTTGTTTCTTGTACATGGTAACAGAAAGGACAAGTTGGAGTGTGGGATTTTGAAAAAGTGTATGAGAAGATAGTTTATGGAAATATACACTCTTGTATAGTTAATAATATGAGGTGAGCTCTCTCTTCCTAAAGCTGTAGACCTGTGTCAATTTCTTACCATGTGGCATTTTATCTTGTTCATGGATATTAAATTCACTTTAAGTGGATGTACAATCAATTAATTTAACTTCTGACCAGTCCTTGTAATTCTTGCAGATTTAGCCCCACAAGTGGTGATATGGTATATGCAGCATCCTCTGATGGGACCGTTAGTTACACTGACTTGGAGACGGGAATTTCATCATCTTTGATAAATCTTAATCCTGATGGCTGGCAGGTTATTTGTTTGCCAACTGATTGATTTGTACCTTAGTGCAGAATATGATACATACTCCCTTAAATCTGCTTTTGCTTTGAGGATATGTTTAAAAAGTTTACAAATTAGATGTAACATTTTAAGCGAGCTAAAGTAGGTGCATCTTTCCTTCCTTTTCCTTCTGACAGAGTAATCGGGGATATAATATGCATGTAATATGAATTTGACGACATTCATATTCTGACCTTGTTTGTGGCATTTATAGGGCCCAAGCAGTTGGAAAATGCTATATGGTATGGATATGAACTCAGAGAAGGGTGTGGTACTTGTTGCTGATAACTTTGGGTTTCTCCATATGTAAGTACTTTTCATCACTATTGCTGCTTCATTTTGTTACAGTTGAAAGATGCATTGTATATAACAAATATGAACCTGCTGAGGATCAACCAGTTTATGGAGTATAAGGAGGTCCTTGTCAGACTTCACTGTACCTTTTCCTATCCACCATTAAGATTAATGAATGTCATTATTGTACATCATTATGCTGTTTCCGTTCCTAGAATGTTAATTGGTTGCAGTTGCTGTCATTGACATTATTTTTCTAGTTCTCCTGTTCAAGGGATCACAAGTTGCAAATTTAGGATTTATTACATCTTATGCTGGCTATATATGTACTAGGAGCACTCGGATCAATTTGTTTACAAATTTAGACTGATGGTTTTGATTGTGCAGTAGGAACTAAATTATATATGGCTTAAGAGCTAAACCTCTCATTTGATGCTCATTTTTAACACTGTAAGCTAAGAAACTGGGATCAATGAAAAGTAAAGATATAATAAGAGGAAATGAAAGTGAGACCTTGAAACACCAACTGATTACATTAAAGGTGTCATAGCTACATTTTGCTAAATAATTGATTGTAGCCAAAAACAACAAAGCTTGAGTTGATAAGAAGATGCCCAATTTATCTAATTTTTATATTCTAATACATAAAGTATATTTCGAGGAGATCTACTCTAGATTGCTTAATGTTATGCTGCACTTTTAGGGTGGATGTTCGGTGCAATAGCAAAACTGGAGAGTCAATTTTGATACATAAGAAAGGAAGCAAAGTTGTTGGACTCCATTGCAGTCCTGTTCAACCAGAGCTTCTCTTGAGTTGTGGAAATGATCATTTTGTAAGTTTTCAGATTCATTACTAACTTGTAAGTATTCCCTTTCTCGTTGTGGAGCAGCTATTTCCAGGATTCCCAAGTGCATGACTAGGTTTGACTTTCGCTGATCCTCCCTTGACCTGGCAAAAAAGAAAATAGATAAAAATAAGAAGCATGAAAATAATTGGAAAATATTCTTTAAAGAAGAGGAAACTTCATGAAAATATTATATTTGTCTAATATTTATGTAGACTCGGTATCTATGTCTTAATGACCTCAGGCCCGAATTTGGGATATGCGGCGATTAGAAGCTGGATCATCTCTTTATGATCTTGCTCACAGACGTGTCGTCAACTCTGCATATTTCTCTCCGTTGTCTGGCAGCAAAATTCTCACAACATCGCAGGACAATCGTCTTCGAGTATGGGATTCTATCTTTGGTAATTTGGATTCGCCGAGCCGAGAGATTGTACATAGTCATGATTTCAACCGACATTTGACTCCTTTCAGAGCTGAATGGGATCCAAAGGTTATATGCTTTGCCTTGAAGATATATAATTTTTTTTTTAAACTGCATGATTTATTTTGTTTTTATCTTCACATTCCAAAATAAATTATAATGCAGGATCCATCAGAATCCCTTGTTGTTATTGGTCGGTATATCAGTGAAAATTACAATGGAGAAGCTCTGCATCCTATTGATTTCATAGACATCAGTACAGGGCAACTAGTTGCTGAGGTTATGGATCCAAACATTACAACTATTACTCCAGTGAATAAGCTTCATCCACAGGATGATGTTCTGGCATCGGGTAGTTCGAGGTTGGAGTCTGAACCTCTTTCCCTGTTGATTTATTACATACCGTAACTTTGAAATTGGAGTTCAATTATTAGTATGGTGTTTGAGATGGAAATACAGTCCAAAAACCTACTAGAAAGGGTGAAATGTGAATATGTTATATCCAACTGGACTAAATTAGATTATTTACATTGAAGAACTTTTGGTTTTCTTTCTTATCTATCCCCTTTGTGTCAGAATCATGAGAAAGGTTTTTAAACGATGCAAAATATGTTTTTGACTTGGGTGAAGTGCATTTTTCTTACCCGCTTCTCTCATGGCACATGCATGAAAAAGGTTGCCTAATTAAACGTAGAGGAAAAGTAATTATTTGGTTGTTCTTCATTGCAGTTATTTGCCCAAAAGTATTGCCTTTAAGTGGCCTAATTAAAGTTTTAATTTTAGGTCTCTCTACATTTGGAAGCCGAAAGAGAAGTCTGATGATGTAGAACAGAAAGATGAAGGAAAAATTATCGTCTGCGGAAGAGATGAGAAGATAAACAAGCGGAAGTTGGACGGAAGTGATCGTGATTCGGATGATGACATGTTCAGCTCGAAAGGCAAGAATGTTAAAATTAAAGAGTTTGAAATGAAAACTAAAACAACTCGCTATGGTCGGAAGGCTAAACGTTAAGAGTGATAGATGCAGACGCCTCCATGAGAAACCAGTTATTTACTATCGTGGAGTTTGATTTTGTGATTCCACGGTAGAGATTTTGGAGTCATCCAGTTACGTACCCTGTTTTGCCAAACCCCTTTTCTCCTGTTTGTAGAAAGTTTAAGTTTTCTAACACTTGCAAGAAGATGCTGTAGTTACGTAAGACACCTAACTTGCCATTCTGTTTCTCTGCACAGCTAACTTTTAGCCGAATTGTAAAGATTTCTCAAAAGGGTAATCTACATAAACCCTTTTTGAATGTCTTTCCGTAATGAGATTTTAGTTGGGTGCTGCTATATCGAAATGTGTGTGATTCAGTCTTTTTAATATGATTTTGAACTCTTCCTTCCCGAGCGTTATACTCAAGACGATTCATTTACAACCTTTGCTCTTTCTCTGGTCGAGGTGGTCGAATCAGCAGAGTCAACCATGAAACTGTTTTCTGTTTTTGAACGATTCTCAACTACAATCAGTAACTTTTGAACAGAATTAAGTGCACGTGCTTGACACAGATGAGTATATTAATGAGTTATTTAGTAAAGAGGTAATTAAAAATAGTAATTAAGATTAAAGTCATAAATTTGACTACTCTACTCCCCAAGGAAAGTGTGAGAGAAGTAACATTTAACAAGGTGTCTTGTCAGATGTCAAAGTTAAATTTTAAAAGGAGGTATATTAATTATATTCCCTTTAAATTTAATTTAATTTTTTTTTAATTTTTATTTACAAGAGTATGGTATACGACTGTTTTAATGTTCCAAGAAATAGATTACTGATTGACGTGAAGTTACGAACCTACTTTTTCGGGTCAAATACTCTTTGTTTCATTTCCTTCTATTTTCCTAATTTACTCCATGAGATGGGCAGATAAAAATATTAATTGCAGGAGTTATTATATAATACATGTGGTGATATTTCAATTTACAATAAAATGGAAATTGGCAATTAATTCGTTTCAATTTAATATCGACGTGTGTGATTCGTTACTTTTCTTCAATTAGCATCTACTTAAAACTGGTTATTGTGAAATTATAATTTCAATTCCAAAGACAGATTGCAAAAAATTCCTTCTTATAAATTTGTTAAATTTGTCTGGGTATCAGCGATCTGATTTTTGACTGGATTCGGAAGAAATTTAATTTCGATTTGCCAAAAACATATATATATATATATATAAAGACATACTCCTGATTATATACATACGTACATACATTAATTTTAATTGTTGTAAAAAAAATATTTTCAAAAAACGAAATCAGAAATGATAAATGAATTAAATCAATACAGAAAAGTACCTCATTAACAGAGATTTAGTGAACTACAGATTTTTTTTTTTTAATTAATTATTTTGGGCTTTTATTCTTTATAAATATCAAATATGATATATATCAATATCCATTCGTAATTATTATTATTTTTTTTCCAAATTATTATATGACTCATAGATTAATATATACACACACACACACATCAAGTGACGTATTCCGATTGCAATTACAGTCGTGCATTTGATCTCAGTATCTGGGGTTTGTCTCTTTATATTATAATTTGATTTTCATTTTAAACTTTTTTAATGGGGCCGAAGTGAAATCTGTTTCTTCTAGAAACAAAAAAAAAAAAAAAAAAAAAAACTAGGACGTGTAAGTTGCAAAGGAGTCAAGAACTACAACGCTTCCTCTCCCAGTGAAAATCTCAGCGAACAAAACGGCCTCCCAAACTGCGTGCTGGCTTAGCAAGAAATTTGGACTGTTGATTCTCCATTGTACCCCTGATAACGCACGCGGCTCCCTCGGTTAACGTAAGGGCAATTACGGTATTAAAGTAAGAGTTCAAATATTCCCGGGACTTTCGCTAACTGACTATATAAACCGATCGCTCTTCTCTCTCTTGGTTTCGTCTTCCTCAGTTTCCCTTCTTCCAATTGAATTCCGTAAAAGAAACCATAACTCTAAATAAAGTCTGTCAAGGAAACAAACACTCTCTCTGTTTCGCTACAAAAGAGAAGCGCCAAACAGATGGCTTTAAGCTGATTGATATTGTGTGTTGTTTCTGTAGATTGAGAATTCTCGTCTTTCATCGGACGAGACTACTGGAATACAGGGCGAGGAAGAGTAGGCCAAAATGGCTGCAGCGTCGAACGGGAGTGAATACTTTGAGTTCGAGATAGACGCCCAGTCGGAATCATTCGGGAGGCCATCGAACGCAGAGACGGTGGAGGAGGATGAGGAGGAGCTAAAATGGGCCGCGATTTCTAGGATTCCGTCGAATAAGCGAGGTAATTTCGCTCTCTTGAGGAGGTCAGGGTCTGAGCGCGATCCACAAGGGACTACTGCCATGACCGAGACCATCGACGTTACGAAACTCTCACGCAGAAGCAGGGAGCTCGTCCTGAAGAAAGCTTTCGCTACCAATGAGCAGGATAATTACCGTCTCCTCTCTGCAATCAAAGAGCGTCTCGATAGGTAATTCAACACCTCTCGTTGTTTCTTTGAGCATGACCATCAATATGCACCTAGAGTAATCTGAATCTCTCCGTATTTGTGAGAACGAGAGAAGGGGATTGTTGTCGTCATAATTGTGTGAAGATTCCGATGATTTTTTAATTAAAAATTTTGACGATTACAGAAGTTTATTAATACACAGAATATACGTATTAACTTCCCAGCATTATGAAAAAAGCATTCTCCCTTCTTCCCACCGGTTATTCCTTCTTATTAAATTTATGTTATACGAGTTTGTTCCTCTGTTGTTGGAAAATTAGTTTTAAGTACTAGATGGAACGTCAAAAGTGCTAAAAGCTTCCGACCTTTTCCAGATTCTAGGTTCTTGGTAAAATCTTCATACCCTCATAAATTTTGACTATTGTAAGTTTTTCAGGGTCGGATTGGAGGTGCCAAAAATCGAAGTGAGATTTGAGAACTTGAGAATCGAAGCCGACGTTCAAACTGGCACGAGAGCTTTGCCGACATTAATTAACGTTTCTCGTGACTTCTTTGAGGTAGAATATCCTTCTCGTATCCTCTCTGTAAACTTTTTTTTTTTTTTGCTTTTTCTTTCTTTGTTTTTCTCAGGCTCGTCCTAATTTTGTCTGGTTTTGACTGCAGAAACTACTGACTAAATTAAGAGTATTTCAACCTAAGAGATATAAGTTAACCATTTTGAATGAGATCAGTGGTGTGATCAAACCGGGAAGGTAAAACTAGCGTTAGCATTTATAAGAAGAGGAATTTCTTGCGCATGTACTAGATATTTTTCAATGAAATATTTGCTTAACTAATTTGCTTGCATTTGCTGAAACAAGAAATGATGGATTATCAAGCAATCTATTATTATAAGCAAAATTAATTATTATGGGTTAGATCATGTCCGACAAGTTTCTTCTTCCTTCTCTTTTTAAATTTTCCAAAAAGATGAAGTAATGGAGCTTGGATATCACATTCTAACTACATACCTGCATTTTTCTTTGTGCTTTATTCCGGTGACAGTAATTAGTAGAACATATTAATCATGAGAAACTGATCAAATCATTGTTGGTTGAAACTAACAATTGCACTTTTTGGGATTATATATAGGATGACTTTACTTTTAGGACCTCCAGGCTCTGGCAAATCTACCTTGCTTTTAGCCCTCTCGGGGAAACTTGACAAGAACTTGAAGGTAAGTAATTGATGCAGTTACAAATGTTAACTAATTGGTGCAATCTTGTAATTAGCTTTCTCATGCATCTCTTAAAAGTATCTTTTTAGCCTAACTTTTACATGCTTCCATAATTTTCTTTTTGTTTCCCATTCGAAAGTAACTAATTTGTTGCCTGATGTGTGGTATTTGTAGCATCATTGTTATTACATTTTCCTTACTTTGGGATACGAATTTAATTATTTTTAGTTTGGAAACAAAGTAAAATCTCATTCTCTATGCTAATTCAGTAAAACTCAAGAAATTTTATATTAGTTTGGTCCATTATAGAGACATAATCAATATAAAATTTGGATGATATGAATGGACTTTACCTGAATTTTAGACAATTTTGGGTTTTTTTTCACAAGTATTACTCATCAAATTTAACATGTTATCATCGTTACATAATAGTACTAAAGTCTTAAATGGTTTTGGATAAAAAATAATTGTTTAATTTATTTTGTAAGAATTTATAATATTGAGTTTATAAACTCTTCTCCAACATAATAATTATTTAAGTTTTTAAAAAATAAATACTTAAAATAATTTTATTCTCAAAAATTTATAAGTTTGTATTAATTATTTATTTGTCTGGTAAAAATATATTTTATAAACTCTATATAAATAATAAAAAGTGTTTCTTGAAAAAATAAAACACGTAAAATTGTTAACTTTTTTTTAAATTTTTTTTGTTTTATTTGGTATCAATACTTTTCTAGACTATATAAATTCTCTAAAATAGAAGTTACATCTTGACAACTTTATAGAAAATGTTGATACATGGAACTTACAAGTTATTTAATTTGCATTTGTAATTCATGTCTACAAAATAATAGGTTAAGCTAAATACGTTCCTAATTTAATTTTTTTTTGTAGTTATAGGTTCTTAAGTACAATGAAATTTATAGACTATGAAATACATCTAATATATATATATATATATACATTTTTTTATGTGTTTAGTTCATAAACTCCCCGGACATGGTAATTGTTTTTTCATAAGTTTGGAGAAACAACAGAATTTCTCTTGTTTTTGGCAGACAACTGGGAATGTTATCTACAACGGAGAAACACTTGACAACTTTCGCGTTCAAAGAACTGCTGCATACATTAGCCAAACAGATAATCATATTGCAGAGCTTACTGTACGAGAAACATTCGATTTTGCCGCTAGATGTCAAGGTGCAAGTGAAGGCTTCGCAGGTTTGTCTACCTATGAGTAAATTCCTTCGAAAGCTTTCTTTGATTAGTATTCATCGTTTTACTGCATTAAAATATTTTCATCTGTACTGGAACCTATTTCAAAGTTTACTACTTGTTGTTTCTCTTTCCAGTATGTACTGCCTTTTTGGCTCTTGTTCTAATAATGGATGGGGGTTTCCTCTCAAAAGCATGAAAACGCTACTAGTTTTGGCATTGCATTGAAAGTTTGTTTTCATGATTTAATGGTTTAACGGTGTCTATCATAAGTCATTATCTACTCTTCTATTTTTCTATAGGATATATGAAAGACCTGACGCGTCTTGAGAAGCAAAGAAATATACGCCCAAGTCCTGAAATTGATGCTTTTATGAAGGTTGTCACAAGCTCATGCTTCGTTTGTTAATTCCTTGTGGTTCTATTTTTGTTACTGACTGACTTGCCAACAAAAAAATCCGACCATTCAGGCATCATCCATCGGTGGCAAAAAGCACAGTATTTCGACGGATTATGTCATAAAATTGCTTGGACTCGATATTTGTTCAGATACGATGGTTGGTAACGAAATGCTCAGGGGTGTCTCAGGTGGTCAAAGAAAAAGAGTAACCACAGGTCTCTCTCTCTCTCTCTCTCTCTCTGTATTTCTCTGTCTCGATGTGTTATGCAGGAATTCAGATTATTGATTTTTAAATGCTTCTTGCCCATAAAGTTGAAAGTAAAATTACCGAATCCAGTGTTCTGTAAATTTTTGGAGGTTTACCAATGTTTAGTTATAGTAGGGATAGCCTGTCTAATTGTTGATTGAAGCTTTAGAATTTCTGGTTTGGGTACTTATCGTTCGTTCTTGTTTATTTTGGCGGAAATATTTAAACTTATGAGATGAAACTCTAATGTCGGTATTGAATGAAAGGAAAACTCTAGTGTCGGTATATTAGAAGAACTAATGAATCTAAAAATTTGTATTCCGACTATTGAAAAAATTAAATTGGGCCAATAAGAAAACATGTACCGAAATATTTGCTCGTGTTCCCTGATAAAATATTAAATTTGAGTACATTCAGGAGAAATGATCGTTGGGCCAAGAAAAACACTCTTTATGGATGAAATCTCCACTGGACTTGATAGCTCGACAACTTTCCAGATAGTGAAATGTGTAAGGAACTTTGTTCATCAAATGGAGGCAACTGTTCTGATGGCTCTTCTTCAACCTGCCCCAGAAACATTTGACCTATTTGATGATATCGTGCTATTATCCGAAGGTCATGTGATGTATCAAGGTCCTCGAGCCGAAGTCTTAGAATTCTTTGAGTCATTAGGATTTCGAATTCCCGCGCGTAAAGGCGTAGCTGATTTTCTTCAAGAGGTACTTCTTGTAAGGATTCTTGCGTGATTTGACGCTGCACGTGCCAGCCTAACTTGTTTTACTGCAGGTGACCTCCAAAAAGGATCAAGCTCAGTACTGGGCTGATCCTTCCAAGCCCTATGTATTCCTTCCCGCTTCCGAAATCGCCAGTGCATTCAAGAGATCCAAGTTTGGAAGGGCACTGGAGTCCACTGTTTCTGTTCCATATGATAAATCTAAAGGTCATCCTTCAGCTTTGAGCAGAACAAAATTTGCTGTATCAAGTTGGGAAAACTTTAAAGCATGCTTTGAACGAGAAATACTTCTGATCCGCAGGCATAGCTTTCTTTATATTTTCAGGACATGCCAGGTATGTTGGTTTTGATTTGTTTTTTAACTTTCAAGTGGCAAATTGCATCAGTAGCGTCGAACTTTAGGCTCATCTATATTTTAGTAACATACACATGATCATGTTAAAGGATTGATAATTTTTGCTGTCAACCGAAACGGTAGTACTTTCTCCTTAAGCCAGTGTTTAGCCCAAGGGTCAATATATTGTTTAAAGCTTGCTCTAGGAACAAGCTTTTTGTGGAAAGTTTGTTTTGTGTTTGGTTGCTTAAAGTGGTAACTATTGTCATGGACAACAAAATGTTCCATGTGTGTTTCGTGTTTAAGCTGGTAGTAATGAACAAAAGGAGCAGTTTGAGGGACCGAGAAAGAGGTTTTTCTGCTGCATTAGTTGACGGAAACACCAACAACTTGCTGAACATGGCTTCAAGCAGTTCAGGAGGTATTTCTCCACCTATATTTAATTAATGGAGAGGGTCCTTCTTCCTTAAGAGTAAATCCAACCGTGACTCAAATGAAGCATTATAAAATGGCAAAGAAGTTATAACTCTTCACTTGGTTGTTCAAAGAAATCCTTTCTTTGAGGATTATGTGATGTGAAACTAGGGATAATATTTTTCACCCAATTTGACCAGTCCAAATCCGAACTACAACCATTTTTTCTTTTTCAATAAGCAACGGGTTCGTAGTGGCTCGGGCTTGGGTCAGCCCAAAAAAAACTATAATGAGGTGGGCAGGTTCAAGTTTGACCTATTAAAATCAATCTAAATCGAAAGCAGGGTATATGTATATTTATTTATTTTTATCAATATAAATATAGGTATATAAGTTTTTAGTGTTTAGTCTAAAGGTCAATGTTTTTTGAAGCTTGGTCTAGTGAACTATATGTCTGGTTTTAACGGACTAATAGAGCAGTTTTCTCCGCACCATTTTTCTCTTCTCTTCTGAGTCTAAAGTCCAACGAATCAATATACGTCCGATATGTTTCCAATGGCAGTTTTTAAACTGCTGATCTGTGATGTGCCAGCACCTGTCCTGAGTCAAAATGTGAATATGCTCATATAATGTTGACAGACTTCATATGATTAAAATTTTCAATGTTCTGTACATGCAGATGTTTATCTGAAGTTTTTCTCACGGTTTGCATTTCTCTTATTCTCTTGCACGTGTTTAAGGTTGCATTTGTTGGATTCGTAACATGTACAACCTTCGTACGAACAAGACTTCACCCCACAGATGAGGCAAATGGCAGCCGCTATCTCTCTTGCCTGTTTTTTGGGCTTGTGCATATGATGTTCAATGGTTTTTCTGAGCTTCCAATTACGATATCTCGACTCCCAGTTTTCTACAAGCAAAGAGATAATTTATTTCATCCTGCCTGGTCATGGTCCCTTGCCAGTTGGATTCTGCGTGTGCCATACTCCATTATAGAAGCGGTTGTATGGTCTTGTGTTGTGTACTATACTGTTGGTTTCGCTCCTGCTGCTGGCAGGTATCTCCTCTGCAATTACTCTTCTGGATAATTCCTTCGTTTATTATTAGTTGGTTGTACTCATATTTCTTGATTTTACGGTTCAGGTTTTTTCGTTACATGTTCTTACTTTTTTCAATGCACCAAATGGCGTTGGGTCTCTTCCGTATGATGGCTGCAGTTGCAAGAGACATGGTCGTTGCTAATACATTTGGGTCAGCTGCCCTATTAGCCATATTCTTACTGGGTGGATTTATCATTCCAAGAGGTACTTTTGGTTTCATATTTATTTAATTTCTCAAAATTGAGTTACTACATGTTCTTGACAATTGTGTTGTTCTTCCTTCAGCGAGTATCAAACCATGGTGGGTTTGGGCATTTTGGATCTCTCCACTATCCTATGCGCAACGTGCAATTTCCGTCAATGAATTTACCGCTACAAGATGGATGGAGGTATGCTCATAGTTGTATATGCCATTTTTTAAAGTTGTTGCTTCTTGTACTTTTTTATATTAGCAACAAATGATCAAATCTTCTGGCAGAGATCTGCGATCGGGAATGACACAGTTGGTAACAATGTTCTCCATTTATTTAGCTTGCCCACCAGTGACAATTGGTATTGGATTGGCGTTGGTGTAATGTTTGTTTATGCAATACTTTTTAACAACATTGTGACCTTGGCCCTGGCTTACCTTAACCGTGAGTTTACTAAATTATATTTGTTATTGCAAATTCCTTTTACTGAATGGAGCATCTAGCAAACTCTCTCTAATATTTTTTTTTGCACTACACGTCAGTTTATAACGTGATATGCCTCTTATATATGCTTATGTAGCCCTTAGGAAAGCAAAATCAGTTGTTCCAGTTGATACCGTGGAAGAAAATGGGGAGACTGGTCAGTCAAACTATTATATTTGATTATACACTTTTTATTTCAATAATATATATTTGGAGCTTCCATTCTCCTCAAAATGGTTTCTGATTACTATTGTGTGCTATCACAAATTTATGCAGTGGGCACACAGGAATTATGTCAGACCTGTGCTCAGAAAGGTGTTAGGAAAAAGGGAATGATCCTTCCATTTCAACCATTGGCAATGACTTTCCATAATGTTAATTACTTTGTCGATATGCCAAAGGTTTGTCTGCCTGGTGATTTTACTTCTATTTGACATTTTCTTTTAAAAAATATCAGCTAATGTGAAACATGCATGCTTCGTGAAATTCTCAGCACATGCGTTCACAAGGTATAACGGAGACGAAGTTGCAACTTCTCTCGAATGTCAGTGGGGTATTCTCACCAGGTGTTCTGACTGCATTAGTGGGATCAAGTGGAGCAGGGAAGACAACATTAATGGATGTGCTTGCCGGCCGCAAAACAGGTGGATACATAGAGGGGGATATTTCAATATCAGGTTATCCGAAAGAACAACGCACGTTTGCCAGAATTTCAGGATATGTAGAACAAAATGATATACACTCTCCGCAGGTGACCGTTGAGGAGTCTCTTTGGTTTTCTTCCTCTCTCCGCCTTCCAAAAGAAATTAGCAAAGAGCAAAAACGAGTAAGCTATCACACACTTTGGGTGCTCATATGTCTTTCTTATTTGTTTTCGAAACACTAAATTGTTTAATGTTCTACAGGACTTTGTTGAAGAAGTGATGAAACTGGTAGAGCTTGACACTCTAAGACATGCTCTGGTTGGTTTGCCAGGCAGCAGTGGCTTGTCAACAGAGCAGAGAAAACGTTTAACGATTGCTGTGGAGCTTGTTGCAAATCCTGCTATTATTTTTATGGATGAGCCTACATCTGGACTTGATGCAAGAGCAGCAGCCATTGTGATGCGGACTGTTCGTAACACTGTTGATACTGGGAGAACCGTGGTTTGCACTATTCATCAACCGAGTATTGACATATTTGAAGCGTTTGATGAGGTTACTCAAATATAGCTTTGAGTTTTATTGGAAATTGTTTTTAATAGTCTATTCAACATGCATAGACTATTTTACAAGTGAGTAATCTGCTGATATGATGTTGATATGCACAGCTACTTCTTATGAAGCGAGGAGGACGAGTTATATATGGAGGGAAGCTTGGTGTGAATTCACAGATTATGATAAATTATTTCCAGGTGACTTCTTTTTACCTATTCTATCATTTGAGTTGTACTTAGGTGGAAACTGGAATCATGCTCCTTGGCAATAGTTGCTAACAGGAGTTTTTTGCCTTAATAACTGGCCTGAATTCACCTTACATTCCTTCAAATTATTGTCAACGTGGTTGGATTCAATTGTAAGATAACCAACCAAGTGTTTCTTTTTCCTCTTGTCAAAGTTTGGTAAGGCGTAGAGCTAAGTTTAGGATCTCCTTGTTAGTTTATTGAGGTTTGATTATAAATCTCTTTCCGAACATGTAATGTTTGAACTGTGTGGCTAAAATAAGCTTCCTTAAGCTTAGATTTCCTAATTAGATATTCTTTTTTTGAAAAAATCCAATATATCCTACAGAAAAAGCTCTTTGTCTAATTCAATTGGATTTTAATCTTGAGAGCTGATAGGATTTCAAAGATTGTTCTATCTTTAGCATCTAAATCATCATGCTGATGAGCTTACCTAAATCTCCTGTTCTTTTCATGTTTCTTTTCCTTCTGCAGGGGATCAATGGAGTTTCACCCATTCCTGATGGTTACAATCCAGCGACATGGATGCTTGAAGTAACTACGCCAGCTGTTGAAGAAAAACTTGGGGTAGACTTTGCAGAGATATACCAGCAATCAGAGCAATACAGGTAAATTTAATGGATGCCTGAATATATCTGTTTCCTTCTTATTTTCACTCACTTTCACTTGCACAGTCTCTGGCCAATACTTGCTTTTCTTTTTTTTTTTTTTTAATTATTCTGTTACTCTCACATAGACATTCTCGCACCAACAAATGGTTCATTGCATTTTTTCAAAATACCCATAAAACAATGTTTGCTTATCTCTTCTACAGGGAGGTAGAAGCTTCCATTCAGCGTCTTAGTATTCCATCTGATGGCTCAGAGCCTTTACATTTCGATACAACATTTTCACAAGATCAGATATCTCAATTTTTGATTTGCCTTTGGAAACAAAATCTTGTTTATTGGAGAAGTCCACAATACAATGTCGTGAGAATATGTTTTACTACTGTTAGCGCATTGATAATTGGCTCAGTATTTTGGGATATTGGTTCAGAAAGGTGACTTTCCTTGATGCTATTCTTTTTTCAGAATCTCATATTCAAGAATGTGTATAAACCTAATATTAATTATATGCTAACCACGTCATTTGGGGATTCTTTTTTTCTTATCAACTAAAACATCAATCATGTCGACTCATTTATTCATATACATCTTGTAGGGGCTCTACTCGAAGCTTGCTTATGGTTATGGGAGCTCTTTATTCTTCATGTTTATTTCTGGGTGTGAGTAATGCATCTTCTGTACAACCTATTGTTTCAATTGAAAGAACAGTATTTTATAGAGAGAAAGCAGCCGGAATGTATTCTCCTATTCCTTATGCATTGGCCCAAGTAAGTTTTATGAATTTTGCCTTTTTTGTGCGTTATCCAGTTAAAGTTTTATGATGAAGTATTTACGATCATTATCTTTTTTATCAATAGGGTCTAGTGGAGATCCCCTACATTGCCACACAGACAATTTTGTACGGAATCATCACATATTTTATGATCAATTTTGAAAGGACAGCTAGTAAGATTTCAATTTTGAGAGGAGAAGTGCTTATTTTTCTTGCTTGCATATATGTTGTTAGAAACAAATTTGCTAAATTATAGGTATTCACATAAAATGTATCACGTATTGCAGGAAAATTTTTCCTCTACCTTGTTTTCATGTTCCTGACCTTCACCTACTTCACCTTTTACGGAATGATGGCTGTTGGTCTCACGCCTAATCAACACTTGGCAGCCGTCATTTCTTCTGCCTTTTACTCATTGTGGAATCTTCTCTCAGGATTTCTTCTCCCAAAACCAGTAAGCAATTTATCTATTCCAGTAAAATTAAAAAAAAAAAAGAAGTTAATATCTTTTCTCAATTGTTTACATATGTTTATTATTTCAGCATATACCCGGATGGTGGCTTTGGTTCTATTATATTTGCCCTGTTGCATGGACTCTACGGGGAATCATCACCTCCCAGCTCGGTGATATAGAAACAATGATTATAGAACCTGGGTTTCAAGGAACCGTGAAGGAGTATTTGGAGGTAAGTCTGGGATACAGTCCTGGCATGATTGGAGCCTCAGCAGGAGCACTCCTCGGCTTCTGTATCGCCTTCTTCGGAATATTTGCGCTCTCCGTTAGATTCCTCAATTTCCAGAGAAGATAATTCCTGAATTAATCTTCTCTTTTTAAACAACAGAAGATTTCTCAACTTGGCTTTCGCTACTTGCAGAAGAACATTATTTAGACCAACATTTATCATCAACTATACACATTTAAAATAAAAAACATTACCCTAGAATCTGAGTTGGTGCCAGCTTATCCTCTTCGACTTCAATTGACATGTAAACTATCTATTGAGAATTTTTTTTTTTTTTATAATGTGAGTAATGATGTAGGTACGAGTTTGGTATAAATCTGCAAACTATAGAGTTGCTATAAATTTAAATTAGTACATCAGTATTTTCTAGTAATGAAAACTATGTTTTCTAAATATAATAACTTAGAAAGAGAGATATAAATGTATATGTACGTATATAAAAAAACAAATAAATAAATAAAATAAAATAAAAGAAGAAATAGAGAAATGAAGAGTGTAGATTAGATTAGGAGAAAAGAAAAGGATGATTGGGATGAGCCTGAAGGTAAGTATAAGTAGATTGAGAAAATAGAAAAAAAAAAAAGGGGAGAAAAAGAAAAGAAAAAGAGAGGAAGAGGAGAGGAGAACAGCTGAAGGAGATGCAGTGGAGAAGTGAAGGAGACGACAAGGGAGAGGGAAATTGCAAGGAGAATTTAGGGGACCGGAGGAGTTGAGTGAGCTGTGGCTAAAGGAGAGAAAATGAAGGCAAGAGGTAAGGGAATTTAGGGTTTCTGACTCGGTAGGAAAAACAAGATTAAATATATCTGTATTTTCTCATTTTTTTTTGAAATTGGTCGAATGAGGTGATCGGGAGTGAGGGAGGAGCGGTGCGGATGAGGTGATTAAGATGAGTGTGGATGTAGAAACCTCTATTGGGAGGAGGTTTAGTGCGGATCGAGTAGAAGCCATCAGGTGAGAGTATAGGTTGGGCAAAAGTGGTGGAGGCTATGGCCAAGTCTTAGGATCCGAATAAAAGAGGCGGACTGAGTGTTCCAGAGGGAGGAAAAAGCCGTAACGCGATTGGTGTGTGTGTGGCCATTATAGGCCGCGTGTGACCGTGTGAGTGAACGACTCAGGTTGGCGTCTGGTGTGTATGTGTGTGGCGGACCCTGACCGAGGATGGTAAGTATTGAGTTGTTGAATGTAAGTGGTGTGGTGTGTGTGTGTGTGGCTCCGGAAGAGCTGTAACGTGGTCGGTGTACATGTGTGACCATTACTGGCCGAGTGTGACGGTGTATGGGAGCATTTTAGTGTGGCACCTGGTATGTGTGTGGGTGATAGAGACTGCCCGAGCATGGTAAGGACTGAGTGAGTGAGTTTATGTGTTACAGAGTGTGTGAGTGTGTATGGCCCTATGGCTGTGGTGGCAGGTTGGGTGTTGAATAGGCATGGGTTGGCCGAGAGTTGTGTAGGAGGAAGTTGTGTTGTATGGTTCCTCGTGTGTAGGGGTGGCCTATACACGACGTTGGTGGTTGTTAAGATAGAGGTGAACTAGGTGTGTATGGTCTGTTTAGGTCGGGCAGTTGCCGGTGTTGGTATGGGCAGGAACGTGTAGGTGGGGTTTTTACAGGCTGTTGCCCAGGGTGATTAAGGGATAATTGACTGAGTGATATGTGTGAGTGGCCTCTCTAGACCGGAAGAGTGGAAGGGGTGGATATGTGGTCGTTAAGGACTAATTTGTTCTAATACTGAGGTTGAGTGGTGGATATAGGCGAACTGTAAATGTGTTTAGGTCTTCAGGACTGCGACTACGGGTGTTGTGTATAGGCGTATTTCGATATTAATAACAGTAAGCAGTAGCTGTAACTGAGTGACTATAGGTAACAAAGTTTAGGAGAAGTGGCCATTTTTGGTAAAGATGAGAGTGAGGGTCTAAGTGAGGAGTGTTGGGAGGATGAGAAATTTTTTGATTTTCATACTGTAGTATTAAGTTTTATATTTTTTTACTGGGTTTATTGATGCTCATGACTGTTTTTTTTTTAAGTGTGTCATGTTCGAAATCGAAATCGAAAGACATAACGATGGAGTCCTGCACTTAAGGAAGGGACGTACGCGAGTATAGGATACTTGTTTGATACACACAAGTGTACACCCTGTATCAACCTTGATATTAGAATTATTATAATATTGAATATGCGAACTGATCATGTACTCTCTAGAAGTTAATTGACAGGAAGTGATTGTTACTTATAAGGAAATGAAATGATAGAGATTTATAGCATGTTGGAAATGTTCTTTAATGAGGATAATAGGTGGTGGAAATGTCTCATCTTTAGGATGGGGTATTACACTAAATCTCTTTAATATTCTCGTGTAGTGTATCTAATTGCATTCGTATGTTTTTTTTTTTTTTTTAATTTCTTAGATCTCCTTTTATCAAATTGAAAGCTAAATTAAATGAAAAAAAAAACAACTTATTTCTCACATGAATTTTTGTGAGTGAAATAGTAAGAAAAGTATAAAATAAATTATTTTTTCTTCTTTTAGTTAAAATATTGTATGCTCAGACTCCAAAAACTCCAAAAGATATATATTAATTTCTGAAATAGATAGATATTTATAAAATATTATTATATTATATGCTATTGAATTTCAATATTTAAAAAAATTTCAGTATCAATTATATTTAGCACCACGTTAATGGAACCCTTATATATAATACACTACATGCATACGTATATATATATATATGTGTGTGTGTGTGTGTGTGTGTGTGCATATATATTAAATGGACACGTGAGAAATACTTGCTTATGCATTTAAAATACATTAGAATAAATTGAGAAATTCGAAATGCATATAAATTAGTTCTTTTGATGCACGAATCAATAAAAATATATCATATCAGTGGTGAAACGGTGAATTATTATTTAATTTTATATATAATTTTTAATTACATTCTAGAACTATCCAAAAATTTTCAATTAAATTATTTGTAGAATATGGAATCTAATTACACATGCAAATTTTTATATGTATGACTCGAGATTATAAAATTAAAAAGTATATATTGGATATTAAACCAGAAGATGACAAATTGGTGGGAAACATATATATATATATATACATATTTATATGGTCTAACCACAAATGTATGACATGTCTTAAAACCGTTGACCTACTTGTCTGGCATCTTCACAGTGCAAGTAAATTATTGTTGGCTTCTACAAATTTGGAGAGTAATAATTCCTCTCTCTCTTTGTTTTATTCTTTCTAATGAATAATAAACTTTCTATCTTCGTATTAAAAGTCTTATGAGCCACAATGACACGTGGATTATTATTATTATTATTATTATTATTATTATTAAGTCATTGTGTTTCTTCAACGTGTTAAGAATTATATTTTAATTTTTAAAATTAATATATAATTTAATTGCAAAAATACTCAAAATTTAGAAATCTCCTTATAATTCACCCTAAAAATATAATTATTTCATTTGAATATTTTTATTATTACTATATTTTTTAGTTTACAATCATATGCGGCTTTATTATGTTTTTCTTTTGGTACTCGTACCAAACATCGCCTTAAAATAATAACTTCTCATGTGGATTCAACTTTTTAAGTAGTAGTTTATCCTTACAAGTGGTTTTTGTTTTCTCTTTAACAACAAACAATCCCTATATATTTTGACTATGACCAACCACAAATATATATATATATATATATATTTAGAGGGATCATTATATGGAGAACAGGCTGGAATTTTTAACTTTATACCAAATCACATCTGTATGATCTAATATG